TAATGTAGTGCCCATTATACCATAGGTTTCATGAGATAATTATGAAGCACTAAAGCAAATCAGCATACTAAACTGGTTGAATATGCTAACATTCTAATTTTGTATAGAGGATGATTACTGTTATTATTATTTATAGAGTGAAGTAAGTGTACATAATGCTTCAGAAACACGTAGGCAGACAAGGGCTCTACCCAGAGGTGCCTAAGTTCTAATTGCCTGAATTAGACAATGTAAATGAAAAAACACTACTCTGCAAAAGTAGGAGGAGATCAGCTGGAAAATAGGGTTAAAGAAATAGGTGTTTGGGAAGAAATGATGGATAAAAGCAAATGTTCTTTTCAACCTAGGTTGAAGCTGCTCTGTACAAGGCAAGAAGTATCAAAGTAGTGTCACTAAATCCATTTTAAAATACTTTCTGAGTATTTTAAAGAAATTCTAAACATTACTGTAAATTCAGGGCTCCCTGACTTGCTAAGGTGGATTCCAATGTTCACCTGAGCACAACTCAAAGGCAGTTCACAAGGAAAGGCAGAGATGACAGGGCACAAGACTATAGGGTTGTTAAGGGCAAGAATCCAGTCTGATAAGTACTTGACTTTCTAAATCCATTCTGGCTGAGACTTCTCTTGCCTTCATACCAGTGATGTGGAAAAATGAAAACTTTCTACTTGCAACGTTGTTTTCACGTGTTAAGTAAATCTACTTAGAGGAGCATGCCCAACACTGAACAACCTACCTGTCAGGTATCTCTTCCCAAAACTTGAATTGGAAACAACGAATTGTCTCTTTGCTATTGTTAATTAGGTTTATGACATGAATAGACAGATGTTCCTTGCTGTAAATAGAGTCCATTTAGAAAGTCTGTTCTATAAATCATAAGAAGGCAGACTTATTTTAAAATCTTGGTGAAGTATAATTATTATGCTTCCTCATTAACATTTTAGTATAAAATTTCTAAATTACTTTTGTGAATGCCATGTTTAAATGTATTATATCAACTTTTTGTTTCAATCATGACATTTCTGAAATTTGAATGTATTAGTTTAGGACTTTAATTTCTTAGAAAGAAATTGGCCACTTGGATTTTTGACTGAGGGGTTAACTTTGTCAGGATTATTCGGCACTAGACAAGCAGTTCAAATACAAAGCTATTAATATATCATGAAGCATAAAATATTAAGAGCCAGCCTAAGTCCTGAGAGAAGTTGCAGGAAAATTCCAGTGTTTTATACCAAACTTGCTATGTTCTAAAAATAAGTGCTTAAAATTTTTTGGTCTGGTTTTCTCTATCATGAATTAATTTAGGCTTGTCTCAAATGTCTCTCTAGAAAAATACCTACATAATTGGATAGATCTATTAAAATCATTTTATCATCTTTAAGTAATGTGTATTTGCATATTTATTACCTACCTGGATAAATATAGGTATACACTACACACAAAAAAATATGCTAGAAGTTGTACAAGTAATATGTAAACTGGTGTTTAGGGGACATAGAAGAAGCTAAGTACTATGTGAAATAATTTTTATTCTTGGTTTTTGTTGTTGTTTTGTTTTGTTTTTTAATTTTTCTTTACTTTTCCTGTTGCAGAAAATGAGAAGCCACATCAAAGATGGAGGGAGCTTATTTTGATGGTGGAGATAGCTTCTAGAAGCTCAGGATTATGATTCTCCATGGTTGTGTTACCTAGTATTTGTGTTTGGCTCAGAGCTTTAATGGCTATGGAGTATGTGAAGAAGAGCCACTACTGTATTGAAGTATACCTCCTGCTCCAACACAGGAACCTCCTATCCTGGCCCCAACAGAGCAGATCTGTTTCTTCTTTGTGACCATGATGCTCTGGCTCTATGGTAGCTGTGGATTGATACAGGTTTGTGTGTGTGTTGGGGGGGGGGGTCCCTGTAATTATCTGATAATTAAACTGCTTGGACATAGGTAGCCTGAGTGCAGTCATGTCACATTGGCTTGGCCTGTTGGGCTGTATTGAGAGTGCCTGAATCTTGGTTCTTCTCATACTAATTAGGGCACAGTCCAGGTAGGTTGAACTTACAAAGGTTCTTAACTTATCAGCAATGCCTATGCCCAATTTAAAATGATGGGCTGCATTATACACAATGAGAAAAGTATGTGTAATGCATTTTGGATAGTGCTTCTGATTTTCCCAAACCAATCTTTAAAACATGTAAATGTCAAAATGAACAAGAAAGAAATTCTAGTGATAAATTGGGCCATCAATATTTATCCTTTAGAAAGCTGATTTTTTTCCCTATCCTTCCCTTTCTTCTCTTCTCCTTTCCATCTTTTCCATTTCATATATGTAAACATATGTAACATTGATATTGTATTTTATTTTATATAGCTTAAAATATTGTATTTTATTTTATATCATTTTAAATTAAATTTTATCATTTATATTTGAGATTTGTAGCATGATGGACTGGATACATATAGATAGTAAAATGGTTACTATAGTGAGGCAGATAACATACAATAACCCAGTTGCTATTTTTGTGACAGCAGCAGCCAAAAATTTACTATTTAATAAAATCTCTAATATTATACAATTTTATCCTCATATTGTATATTCAATCTCTAAACTTGTTCAGCCTACACATATGCTATTTTCTTTGACCTACATCTCATTTTCTCTCCCCTTCCCCATCCATGGAAACCACTATTTCATTCTCTGTACTGAGCTCTCTTTTTGGGGAAAAAAAAAAAAAACACAAATGCACTTCAACTATATTCATGTGAATATGTCTTATTGTATATGTGAAACCATGCAATATTTTCCATTCTACCATTGGTTTATTGAACTTAGCATAATATCCTCCAATCCTATCCATGTTGTGACAAATGGTAGAATTTCCTTTTTTAAGATTGACTTCTATGTTCAGCCAGAGGAAGAAGAAGCTATGCTCCATTTGTGTATAATGTGTCAAAATACATTCTACTGTCATGTATAACTAATTAGAACAAATAAAAAAAAGAAAAAAGAAGGTGTCTTCTTGGAAATGGTTAAACAGGCTGAATTAGGGAAAGTTATCAGATTCAGAAGTTTTAAGACTATACTTCCTACTCTTTTGTATTTATGAACCAATACAAACATTAAAAATATTTGGGAATGACAATATTCCCAAGGTGTATACTTTTTTATGGTTTTTCCATGTAATGCCATTAAAACAACTAAAAAAAGTTGAACAATATTCCATTGTATAAATACCACTATTTCTTTGTCCATTCATATTTAGGTTGTTTCTATTACTTAGCTATTGTGGATAATGTTGCAATGAACATTAGAGTCTAGATTTCTTTACAAGGTAGTGATTTCATTTTTGTCCATATACTCAGAAGAGAAATTGATAGATCACAGGGGTAGTTCTATTTTTAATTTCTTTAGGAACATGCATACTGTTTTCTACAATGGTTGTACCAATCTACATTTCCACCAACAGTTTACAAAGGTCTGCTTGTTTTCCATTTCCATATCTACATTTGTTATCTGTCTTTTTGATAATGACTATTCTAACTGGTGTGAGTGATTTCTCAGAGTATTTTTAGTTCAAATTTCCCTTTTGATTGATTATGTTGACTATCTTTTCACATACCTTCTGGCCATTTTTATGTCCTCTTTGGACATAAAAGAAGGTCCTTTGCTCATTTTTTAATTGTGTCATTTATTTTTCTGCTACTGAGTTTTAAGAGTTCTTAATAAATTTTGGATATTAACCCTTTATTAGATATGTGGCTTGCAAATATTTTTCATTTTGTTGGTTGTTTCCCTTATTCTGCACAAGGTTTTGGGTTTGATGTGGTCCCTGTATTTATTTTTGCTTTGGTAGCCGGAGCTTTTGATGTGATATCCAAAAAATTCATTGCCAAAGTCAATTTAAAGGAGCCTTCCCCTTCTGTTCTCTTTTAGGACTTTTATAGCTTTGGGCCTTACATTTAGGTCTTTTGTCCATTTTCAGCATAAGAAAAGGGTTCCATTTTTTTTTTCTTTTTAATGTAGGATCCAATTTTCCCAGCACCATTTATTAAAGTGACTGTTTCCCATTGTGAGCGTTTGGTGTCCTTGTTGATAATTAGTTGACCATTTAAAAAAGTTTATTTCCAGGCTTTGATTTTTGTTGCATTGGTCTGTGCTTCTGTTTTTATGCTTGTCCCATACTGTAAAAACAGATTTTTTAAATGTGGTTATTTTGTATTCTTTATAAAACAGTCCAATAACAGATGTTTATTAAGTGCCTACCATTGACCAGGCACTGGCCTGGGTCCTAAGAAAAGCAAACAAAATTCCTGCCCTGGAGGAGCTTGTAAATTTAGAAGGAAGGCACAGATGAAAACAACCCATCAGGTTAGAATGTAAAAAAAGAGTCATTCTGGAGATGTAGACAGAATGCAATGGGAAATAAGGGAAGGAGCAGGAGCACTTAGGCCTGCCACATCAGATAGCCATTATTTACTGTAGTTATGTCAGCCAGGCTGTCATACTTGCTAATAGAGAGTCACTAACTTATTGCCTTGAACACTTGAAGCTGCCACTTTACAATTTTATTTTCAAATCATTTCTTTAATTTGTCAATGACTTGCTGATTCCCACACTATTAATCTGAACTAGCATTTTCAGGGAACAGTGACTCCTACTGAGGAATTAACTGCTTTCAAAACATGCATAACTAAGATCTAGTTATATAATTGCTCATGATGTCAGAGAGCTTTCAAATTTGAAGAAATAGGATGGTTACAGAAGGACCTAATGACCCCATGTCCTTGTCTAATATTTCCCTTGTTCTATTTAGGAACATGGTGTACCTTTACTCATTTTAATTACTATTTATTTGTGAAATCCAGATCACAGTTAAGGGTATCTGTACTTTTGCCCAATTAGCTAAAATTCTAATTTTCAAATGTGGGAACTCCTAAGATTATTAAATCTACAACAGTTTAGACCAGGATTCCAGATTTGCTTCTTTTTTTTTTTAATTAAACTTCCACTGGAGAATTGAGATTGTAATAAAACTTTCAGCTGTTTTGTTCAGATCTGATGCTACTCTGGTCACTTTAGAAAGTTCAAGTTATAAAGAACATTGTTTATGAACTGGGAATATTTTCTTCCTTTTATGTCCCTCATCCTAGTTCCACCCTTCAGAAAGTTATTTTAATGAATAAGAGCATCTCGGCGATTAAATGGTGTCTGTATTAAAGAAGGAAGACGCTTGCAGTTAAAACGAATGTCACTCAACAGGGGCAAAAAATCGCTGGCTATGCTGGCGGTCACTGCAGAGCGCACCTGACGCCTCGCTGCTGGCAGCCGATTTAGCCTGTGCTGCAACGCATTGCACATTTTTCTCCCGCTAGGGTGCGGCAGGCAGAGGGCCAGCAGCTCCAGCCTGGGCACTCAGTAGCCGGGAGGGGTGCGCTGCAGGTGCACGGAGCCAAGCACTCTTCTCCAAGGTTGCTGGTAAGGCACAAACGCTCCAAGAACAACAACCTTTAACCACTCCAGCACCACCTAAAGCGCCTTCATTTGGCGCCTCTGCAGAAAGTCTCTTTTATTTTTGGCCCTTAGGACAATTTCAGAGAATGAGGAAAGTTGGGTGGCTACGTAGATAAGTACCTTTGGAGCACAGGTCCTGGAGAGCGGCAAAGACTCAAATGGTGACCTCACCCTGATGACCTCAAGAGAATCTTTCCTGGAGTTCTCACCACCGCGGCCTCAGACCAGGACCGAAGGGCGGGGCCTCACGCACCTGGAGCCCTGCCTTGGCCTTGATCCCTTTTGCTGGCTACGGGTGCTTACGTCCAGCTTCTGGCAGAAACGCTCCCTCAGGTTCACACCGGGAGAAACTGGGTGCGGAAAGCCAGCCACTTTGCTTTCTTTGCAGCAACTTGACAGTAGTCAGCGGTAAGAGGACTCGTTTGACTCCTCAAAGGACTCGCTCGGCTCCTTCCTCTCGGGAATTGCAAGCACTAGTGGAGGCCAAGAGGATCCTGAGAACATCCCAACTCCAACCCGATCCCCTGCTACAGGAGCGTGAATATCAACTCTCCCATAAGGTCTACTCCCTGTTCCTCCTAAACCTCTAGCGCAGCTTTTTGAAAAGCGTTCTGTGCATCCTCCAACTTTGGGAAAAGAGTACCCAACTCCCGCACTTCCATCGCCCAGGCTTTGTTAATCCTTTCCCTCGTCCAAACTCAACCTCCCTAGTATTCCCGCCCCAACCTGAAAGCGAGCGCCCCCGGCTGTTCACGGCAAACCCTTGGCGACTGTTTGTAGAAAGCTGTTTCAGGCTTCTTTCAGGTTCCAGCGGCCCTTCCAATCCGTCCCCGGCCCTGCGGGGCACACGCGCGTGCACACACACACACACACACACATTCACTCCCGCTTACACTCACTCGTCCTCGCTCTCTGCACCCCACCCTGCGCGCCGCTCCTCCGCTGGGGTTGGGGGAGCGGGGGGTGTAGGTGACGTCAGGACTGCAGTCCCCAGGAGAGCTGCTGGAGAGGGCTGCGCGCTCTTAGCCGAGGAAGCTGGAGGCGCACTCGGGCAGCCGCTGCTCCCGCGCTCCTCCCTCTCCTCTGCACCCGCTGTCACGCTGCTCGCCCTCAGCAGAACCTCGCCAGCTACCAGGTGAATTGAAAGTCGTTTCCCGGGGAGGACGGAGAGGGTGCTGCAGTCCTGGCATGCACTAAAACTGCAAGTCGGACAGAAACAACCAAGCAGAGGAGCAGAGCGCGCGGCGCTGAGCGCAGCATCCCGGGGCGAAGGCTGCCACTGCTCAGCTAGCAGCCAAGCGCGGCGGCCAGACCTCTGCCCCGCACTCCGGCCCCGGGCACGCTCGCTGGAGAGAGACTCCTTTCCCTTCTTGCGCATTTCGCAGCTGCGCTGGTGTGGGGAATGCGAGCGTGGTGGCTTCATGTCACCGCGGAGCAGCAGCCGGTGCTAGAGCGAGCAGAGGCGAGGGGGCGGCAGCCTCGCCCGAAGTAAGTGCAGCAGAAGTTTGCGTCGGTTCCCCTGCTGCTCCCCCTGCGCGAGTGGGAGGCACGTCTCCTCCCCTCATTCTCTAAGGAAACTGAGGGGAGACTTACAAGAGAGCCTTATACAGGAGAGAAAGTGAGCGTTTCCCGATGGGGGCAAGCACCAGGAGAGGGAAGGGAGGGAGGGGTCTTGGTGGGACCATGGGGTATCAAAGGAGGAGACCCTCAATTGGGTTGAGGGACTGGAGAAGAACTCGTCCCCGGGATCCCAGATAGTTGTTTGGGGGGAGCTAAGGTTGAGACTGTCACGCCTCTTCTGGTGACCTTGGCATGCCCCCCTAGAGTGCCGAGCCAGGGGGTTAGGGGAGGCTGGAAAAGGGTGCGATTAGGTTCTTGCCTTGCTTCTTGGGCTGCGCTGAAGGCGTCGTGCTTCGTGACAGCTGGAAGACAGGACAAGAGGAGAAGCTGGCTTGGAGGCAGCAGGGCTGTAGGGTGGGGATGCAGAGGAGTCTGGACCCAGGGTCTCAGAGTCGAGTGGGTGGTCGGGGCCCTTTGAGGCGCACCAGTGTCTCCACCAGGGCGATAGAAATGTAGGAAGAAGGCAAATGTGATACTTCGGGTGCTTGCAGTCGATTTTGGGCGCCTTTGAGGGTTCAATCGCTGATTCTTGTAATTGGGCGGCTTCTCTGAGAACGACAGAGCTCCGGAGAGCTGAGTGACCGGCAGGGGCCGAGAGCCTTCAGGCTGCCCTTCCTGCCCGCTGCTCTTCCCGCATTGCCACTGGTCCCTTGGAGCCCTCAGACTGCAAGAGCAGGGCGAGACCGGATCTGCTCAAAAACCCTGGGCATTCTGCTGACTTGTCCTCAGTGCATGATGAGCTCTTTTTGGCTGCTTCTTCTGTAACAGAATTTCCCCAAGGAGATTTTATTCCTTAACTGACAAACTTCTAAATGGTTTAAAAAGAAAAAAAAGTTCATGAAAGCTGCGCTCCTTCTAGGGTCAGAGTCTTATAGAAGGCAGGGAAGCTAGGAATTGGTATGATAAGCCACCCTGGTCTCACCTAAGAAGGGGTCTCTGGGAAATTTATATTATATGCGATGAAATGATTCCAGGAAGGCAGAGAAAGCATATTCTCTGGGAGAACTGTCTGTGCCTAGGAATTGGAAATCCACTTAGCTTTTGATACCAAGGATGCCAGTTTGGGAAAAAGGGGGAGACAATTAGTCAAAACTCACAAATTAGATTCCAGTGAGTTTAAAAGTCATTCATAACAGATACTGAGCACTCAATTCCTTCCTTCCATCCATCCATCCATCCATCCGTCCATTTATCCATCCACCCTAAACACTTTGTAGGGCCAAACTATTTGGTAGGCATTGTGTTAGATGCTGGGACAACAGAAATGACTGCTCTGTGGTCCCAGCACTATGAGGGCTTGCAGTCCATGAAAGAAGTGGTCTGGAAAGCAAATGGAAAAAAAAAATACATGTGCCATAGTGATGGACAGGTGTTAACTGGTTTTAACTACAAGGACTCACTCCATCTCATTAATCGTGTGGCCCAATGTCCACTAGATTGCATTCTCCTTGAAGCAGAGAAACTGTCATTCATTTTTGAAGCCCAAAGAACAACACTGTGCCAGGCACACAGTGGTACTGAATGAATGGATGGATGGACTTAAATGAATGAATGGATGGATGAATAAATCATAGTTCAAAGTGTCATAGAAAAGGTGTCATGCTGGAGAGACAGGATAAGAAGGAAGAGAATGAGCTGAAAGAGAAGAAGTAAAGGCAACTGGAGAGGGCAGGAGGAGAAAGAAGACAGGGTTCTTAACTATTTGAAAGTATACATTCTTCAACAAACAAGCTTTGTTTTCCATTTTCAAACAATGGACATTATCAGCAGCCAACTCCATTTCCTATCTATGAAATGCCTACATCTCTGCAGATATTCAGATTATAGATAACATTTATTAGAGCAGTTTATCTGTTAACTTGCCATGAAGAGGTCATAAAACAATGCTCATATGGATGTGTTGATAATATGAGTTGGATGTGTCTAGCATAATGGGACAGATTGGAAAAAATATTTTAGAATCACCAAAAACAGCTCCTTCATACGTCTAATAATATACTTAATGTGCACATTTCCACCCTTTGTAATTTAAACTGGATTAAAAGATTTATATCCAGATTTTACCCATGAAGATTAAACACATGTATGCAAGACTTTGCTTGGTTTAATGAATGGAGCCCAAGTTAGGGTTTTCAGGTAGAAGGTAGCAAATTCCTAGGTGACTGATGAGGGTTTTCTCCCTTCTTAATTTCATTTTATTTGTGTGTGTGTGTGCGTGTGTGTTTACCAGAAAGCTAAAGTTCATGTAAACAAAACTATTTACTTTTCATTGCTTTTTTGATATTTATCAATGATATTACAACTCAGTAATTTGAATCAAGAATTTATAGGCAGTAAAGCTGGTTTTAGTTATTGGAACCTTCTCAGTGCTATGTGATTTATGTGATTCAGGGATATTTGTAGAATTTTTGTAAACCTTTTTTTCTCTATAAAATAAGATGATTTTACTTATGTGATTTCACTAGATAGTGAAATTCAGAATATATCAATGTAAAGTACTACTTATTTTGGTACTTTGTATTCTGTAATATTAATTTAGTATACCAACATTGACAAGAAATGTGTAATCAATGAATAGAAAAAATCCTATATGTTCCACTATTAAAGATTTTGCAGGTATTTTAAGACATTATCAGAGTTCTAGGATAAGTATTGTGATTATAGATGATTTATGGTGGCTTAAAAATGAAATTTTATGTAAAAATATTTTAGAGATACTCATAAATGGTAGCTAAACTCTGGAATGTTTCTTCTGTTGTAGATATTTGATTTGGACTATTTCCAGAACTGCACTGTTAGATCAAATGGCCATTTGAATGAGTCTTACAGATTTGGTAGAAAGTATCTTCTGGGGGAAAGAAGTATATTTTGGAAATATAGTTAGAGTACAGAAATGCTGAGGTTTTTAGGAGTATACTGTCATGAATTGCCAAGATTGGAAATTATTTAACTTTATTTTTGCAGATGAGAAAACTGGGGTCTATAATGGTGTGGGGGGGGTTCTGTGTTTCTCAGGATCACATTGAAATGTGTAAGAGTTGTCTGTTTTGCAAATTGTAGGCTTGGGAGGAATTCAGACCCTTAGGGTTTATAAAAACAGGAGCAATTTAATGGACTTGCTATCCTTGGACTTCAACTTCAACTTCCTCCCTCCTTTCCTCTCTTCTTTTCTTTGTTCTTTCCTTTCTTTTTTGGTGCTGGGGATGGAACCCAGTTGTCTTACACATGCTAGGCTTCTTTTCTGGCATTTTTTAAAGGTTTATCCTTTGCACCTGTCTTCATCTCTGAAAGGACCATCTGCCCAGCTGCCAGCCCCTCATTCTCACAGCTCCTGCTGCCTTCTTAGGTCCTTCAGAAAACAGAGGGAAAAGGACTTGGTGAGGGTCCATGGCTCCTAGTCTACTCATAGATGTGGTCCTACACCTGTGGAGGAAATGAAGCTTGGGTGGGTGATCCCCACACCGTCCTTACATTTGGACACTAATAGGCACCAAAGAACCACAGTTTCAGATCCAGAAGGGGCTTTTGAGATCATCTTAATCCAAACCCATCATCTTACAGATGAGGAAACTTGGTCCAGGAAATGTTGCAACAGTCACATCACAGCCATTGTGGGAAATTGCATGGATTGTATTTTTTTTTCCCATTGGTTGCTTGTGTTTTCTGTCTCTACTGGATGGCAAGTGAGCGGCACTAACATTCAATTAGGCTATAGCATAGGCTTGTGGGCTCTGAAGGAGGCAACCTGTGTTCATGTTCCAACCCTCTCTCTCCCTAGCTGTTCAATCATGAGCAAGTTACTTAAGTTGTCCAACACCTTTGCTTCTTTAGTAATTTTTTTCTTGTTTTATAGGTTACTGCCTATCCATAGGTATAGATATATTTGCTTAAGCTTTAGATCATAAATTTTTAAGCTCTAGAGCATATATTTTACACAGGAGGCAAATAGCACACAATTTAGCACTCAGTACACACTAAATAAATATTTGTTGAATAAAGAAATGAATGAACAAGTGAGTGAATGAGTAAAAGAATGATTTTTGAAGGAAAAATCAAATCTTAATCACAAGAGCCACACCCTTTCGCAGATTCTATATCTGATGCGCCATAATGTTCCTTTTGTTAACATCACTTTCTGGATAGGTGACACCCTGATGTTCTTGCATCCCAAGCTTGCTACTTCTCTGTTTTACTCTCAGTAAGTGACAGATACTTTTAATTGGGCCAAAACCCCTGCACTAATTCTTGATTCCTCTTTTTCTCCCAGCTAGCATTCAATCTATTAGCAAATTCTGCAAAGGAACATTTATGATATATTGCAAAGCTGACCAGTTCTCACGAAAATCATGCTTGCATGATTTCTCAGGATTATTGCAAATGGCTTCCTAACTTCTCTCTCTGTCTAATTCTTGTACCACTTCACAGTCTCAATTCCATAGACACCAGAGAAATACTGCCAAGACACAAGCCAGACCAGGAGACTCTTTTGCTTGCATTTTACAGTGTCTTCCCATCTCTCACAGTGAAAGAGATCGACCTTACCCCCAGCTGTAAGGTTCTATAATACCTGGCCACTTCCAGTCCTTCAGAGTTCTTCTTCTACATCCTCCTTAATCACCATGAGTCCACCACACTGACCTCCTTCCTGTTCCTGTAACATACCACACTTGTTCTCATGTAAGCAACTCTCAATTCTCTGTACCCTTGATCTGGAATGTTCTTTCCCCAGATACCTGCTTGACCTGATTCCTTCACTTCCTTCCAATCTTTTCTCCAATGTATCTTCTTAATGAGGTCTTTCTTGGCTAATCCATTTTAAACTATATCTTCTAACTCTTTATTCTACTTTCTGGCAAAAATGATCTTTTTAGACATTGAAATTAAAAACATATACATTTTACTTAAGTTTTTTTTTTTTTCTCTTCCACTAAGGCCATGAAGAAGAGATTTTTATTTGTTTTATTCATTCATGTATCCCTAGGGCTTTAAATGTATAGCAGATAGTGGGTGTTCTTCCAATATTTGTTGAAAAAATAAATGGATATAGAGTGGAAATTGTATCTTAGGGTCTTGTTAGATCAAATAAAGCAATGCATGTTGAGGCTTAGCAGGGTGCCTGGCACATGTTTAATTAGTATAGGGGGTGATGATGAGGAGGAGGAGGAGGATGATATCATCTATGATCTTCTGGCCTGTTAGTTCCTCTCTTGATCAGATTTGTATTAAGAGGCAAAACTCTTCCAGAATCTTCAGATATTATTTTTGGAAATGACCTTGAAGAACCCTTATGTGCTTCTGGAAATAATTAAGAGCTAGATTAAATCGTCTCTTCAAGTCCTTCTGTCCTGGGGCTTTTGGAAGGTTGCATTTGTACATTTTGTCCTTGAGTTAAAGTACTACATTCTCACCATGAGATAAGCGAAAGGAAAACTCAACAGCAAGGGACAAGAACATTGTGTCAAATCTCCAGTATTTCTCCAGTGTCTGTGGAATCCAGACTGTGAGGTGGTACAAAAATTAGAGAGAGAAGTTAGGAAGCCATTGCAATAATCCCGAGAAATCATGCAAGCATGATTTTCGTGAGAACTGGTCAGCTTTGCAATATATCATAAATGTTCCTTTGCAGAATTTGCTAATAGATTGAATGCTAGCTGGGAGAAAAAGAGGAATCAAGGATTAGT